TAGATGAAAATTGGGATAACTGGGTGGCTCAGCCATTAAACACCTGTCTTTGGCTCAGGTCATGATCCCAGAGTCTTGGGATGAAGTCCAAGATCGGGCTCCTTGTCAGCAGGGAGCCTGCTTCTTCCTCTGGTGCTGTTCCCCATGCTTGTGCTTTCTTTCTTTCTCTGAGAAATAAGTAAGTAAATAAATAAATAAATATCTTTTAAAAAGTGTATGAAAATTATAATACCTTACAAACTATGATGTGCTTTATAGGAATAATAAACACTGGACTTCAAAACATTATTAATATTATTATTACTTATTATTTTTTGCAATCAGACACTACAGAATATTGGAATATAGGTTTAAGAAAAAAATGAGATGGTTTTACCAGTTTGATGAATTGGGCTCATTCAGTACATAGAGAAATGACATCTGTGTAGAAAATATTAATACACTATTATTATATAGCCATATAGATCAGCTACACCATCAAATACCTTCTTACAGTGTGTTAAAGTTATTTTCAGTTTAACAAATGGTAAGGTTTTGGCACTTCCATACACACCAAAGAGTATGTTAAGCTTTGAAACAACTGAATAAAATATTTCCTGTTCTCTTTTAATACTTTAAATAACAAGAATGTATCAATCATAATACCTGGCAGAAACAGAAGGCACAAACAGGAATGATTTTAGAGAGAACTTAGATAAGGGATACTTTTGGAGGAGTGACTGGGTTAAGGGAAGTGAGAAGAGATATTTTAGAGCATCTATCCTATAGCCACAGTAGAAAGCTGAAGGGGCAAGAGATAAGATGCAGTAAACAGGAGCTGGAACTATGGAAGGGTGTATTCCTGAAGCAATGCAGGCACTCCCAGAAAATACCTCAGTGCTAAGTTACAGAGCAACTGGGGCAAGAATTCTCTCTCCTACTGCCCTCTGCCTCTCTTTGACTATACTCCAACAGAAGGCAAAGGACAAAACCCAGTGGATGCAATTCCTAGAGGCTACCTCCTGGAGCACAAAAAAGGACAAATGATGGATTTGGGGTGTGAGGAGGGGTTAGGAATAGAAAATGATTAGTACAATAAATTAAAAAAAAATTAAAAAAATAATATCATATCAAAATCCATATTTCCAAAGCATTGAGATTTGTGTAAGTTAGCATTAATCATATGGTGATTTCAGTGGAATAACCCTGAAACCTTGAATCCAGAATTATCAAAATATAGCTCCACTCATTAAGACTCCCTAAACTGGGTATAATCAGGTCATATTTTTCATTATATTGTAAGGTTCCTAAGCAGCTTTCCTGGTAGCAAAGCATTTATAAAAAATTACATAAATTAGACTCATTAAGTCAATTAGACCTCTGCCTTTATTGACCAAAATAAAAGCTGAAGAGCCAAGGATTTTCCTTGTTTCATATGAAATAAGTATGAGCAGTTGGACTCATTATGTGCATGATTTCTCACTCTAATATCAATATGAAATTGTTTCTACTTGCATTTTCTGCCAATCATCATAACTTTAGAGGAAAAGATGGAGAAAAGAAAAAAAAATTAAGTGCACACCATTTTTGCTGAGAAATGAAGAAAACAAAACAAAAAACCCCTCACAGGTGGCAAAGTGAGAGAGATTACTACTGACAAATCAAACTCACCAGCCTGGTGGTCATGGGATACCTCTTTTAATCATTGTCTCACTTGTAACAGGTTACTTACTTCTCCTAGCTCCCTTATTACCATGTTTTCTATTTTTTTCTTCCTTCTTTTCAAACCACATTATGGAGTACTGTATAATTAGGACGTTTTCCCACGATGCTGTTAATATGTTTAAAGGGCATATTAGAATAGGGAGTTATTGCTGTGGAGTTGCTACTGATACCCTGTTAAGCCTAATTCAACAACTGGGACAAGACAGAAAGTACTTGATTCCCTCAAAAGCAAAAAAAAAAAAAAAAAAAAAAAAAATTAAATTATACAGATTGTTAAAATCAATTCGAAGCTTAAATATGACAAGGTTAACTAAGGTTTTAGTAAATGCAGTGAGGTGGTAAAATAAAGGGAACCTCAAAGGGACGAATCTGAGATGGCTGACATTCAGGACCATGCTTCCTTGCCCTATCCCACTTTCCCTTTTTAATTTCTATTTCACATTCATCATGTTTTGTTTTTTTTTTATGGTTGTTTTAAACACATGGCTCATTTACAATGATCAATTAAAACAAGTAATGCTGCCTTTTAAAAATAAATATACTGTGATAAAGGTGGCATTTAAAGCTGTCTTTTCATTTAAGAAGGAAAAGTAAAACATAATATTACAGGAGGTAGATACGTAGTTAAATAATGAAAACAAAAAAAAAGTTAACTGTTGCAGCTTAGTGTGGTTATCCCCAGGAAAGATAAGTTAGTCCAACTCTAAAGAATCACCAATAAAATTTCTATAAAAAGCTACTCACAATTAACACTTGTGGTGTCATTGAATACAGAGTGATGCAGGAGGAAGGGGGTTGAATATAACCCTTACTCTTCCTTGTGTTCTTCTAGAGGGCACCAAAGTATACTTGTATAGAAGCAAGAGTAAATCAGCCCCAGGGAGCACTGTCTCTGTGAGATGCCAGCTTTGAGCTGAAGTTGAGATGAGTTTCAAGTTGCTGAACACCCACATATAGCAGTAAAAAGATAGAAGATATCGACATGCTCAGCTGCATCTTGTTAAAAGCTTCCTGCGGGTTGGCAGAATGAAAACTTTATTTAAAATACACAAACTATTGTCAAGGGAAAGATGGAAAAGAGAACACAGTAAAAGGGCCAAATGCTTTGCTTAACCCACCAAGAGCAGCAGAAAGGGAGAAGTGGTCACATTGTCTTTGCAGCAACAACAACAGAAAAGGTGACTAACACCACCACATCAGCATCCATCTGCTCTTCCCATGGTATCAAGATGCATTATTTCTTTTATTATTAATTATATGTGTTTCCGGGGGAGGGTAAATATATTATTACGAATAGCAAAAGAGGAAATCATTTCTGGTGCCACTTGGCATTAAGTACAGTAGTGTATGCAATGAGTGAGTGATGACAGGAAACATAGCAGCAGCGCTGAGTTCTGGCATCCCTCCTACAAACCTGCTCCAACTCGCTCTTGGTAGTCAGAGGCTTTCAAACAGAAAGTTCATGTAAAACCATTATTGAACACTGACAGGAAGGAACTGAGACAGGAGGGAGTGGTGTGTATTTGTGCAGAAGGGGAGGGAGGGAGGGAAGGAGGGAGAGGGGAGGCTAAGAGAGAGAATGAGTTAGTCATCATCTTGCACAGAAGACACCATAAGGGGGCAGGTGCTTTGCATAATTATAGACATGCACAGGCACACACACTTGCACACACGAAGAAATCTTTCTGGTTTGTATCCTATCATTTCCAAGAACAGCTTTAAGTGATAGTTACTGTGAACCTTCCTGGATGGGTGAGCTCAGTGGGTTTAGGTGGGTGGAGCAGGCAGCCTTGCAGGAGATGGGTTCAGAAGAAGGGTCACTCCCGAAGAGCAAAAGGACATGGCAGGCAATGAAGCAGGCATGAAAAGAAAAGAGGTGAAAGGACCCTAGGGAAAATGTCACACGTATTGATTAAGCTTTATTTCTCTTTGGGAGAAAGTGACATTTCTGCTATTAGATCATGGACATATAAGGAAAGTAGATGGCTCAATGCTTTTCATTTTCTTCCACAGTGCTTAGGGCACCTTTGACCAGAGGGTACCTGGGGGGGTTTCTGTTGCATTATTACAAGCAGAATAATTATTTTGGCGTTTTGTTTGTTTGTTTTGTTTTTTTTAGCACCACCGTGGTGACATTGCTCTTTCTTTAGCAACAGAGGTTGCCACAGCTATATCCTTTGATCAGACACAAATGACGGTAAAATGATAGAAGCTTTCTGTTACATTTCTTCCACCCTGCTCTTCCCTAGGCTCCAATCCTCTTTTCTAGCTTTGCTCAGGGGATTTAAGTTGCTCTTTCCTTGTTTACAGTCTGTGATACATCACCTCAGAGGCATTGGTCATTCCCCTAAACAGGTAGTAGATAAATACCTCCCCCCACCCCATCCCCATGCAGTCCATGTCCTCGCCTCAGAAGCGAGGCTAGTTTCTAGCAACTCTTTCACAGGTTTTCCCCTTCTCAACTACCGCCTTGACAGAGCCCTACCTGGACCTCATGCCCAGCTACGCTACCGAGCACCCCACCTGAAAACTACATCCAGGATCCAGGATGCAGGGCACTCTGCACTACGCAGCCTCTGCTCCTCTCTCCTAGTCCTCACCAAAGTGGACTCTTCACAAGCAACGAATGTATTGCGAACTAAAACTCTGCCCTCCCCCCCGCCCCTGCATTTTTAACCCCGCCACCCCTAACGCTTGCCTCCAGCTTCCCTCCGAAAAAGCAACTAACCAAACAAACAAACACACCGAAATAACCCAAAGCACGCAAACACCTGAAGAAGCGCAACCCGGATCTACACCTGGACAAGTCCTCTGTGGCTTTAGTGGTCGGGAATAGCCTCCTCTCCCCGCGCGGACAGCTTTATCCCGGAGCCCCGGGGGCATGCCACGGCCTCTGGGTCGCGGGGTCAGCTCGGCCGCGCCCGGGCAGCTCGGGGTCGCCTCCCAGCGCCCCCTCCTCCCGCCCCGGCTCGCTCGCCCGCACGGCAGCCTCCGCCGCCGCCGCCGCCACCCGGGCGAGCGCTCGGAACATCCCGCGCCACGTCCTCCCCGCCCCGGCTCCCGCCCGTCAGAGCCGGGCCTGCGCCGCTGGCAGCCATCAAGTGGCTCGTTAAGGAAATGCAGGTGAGTGCGTGCGGCCGAGCGGCTGCTCCTGGAGACGTGGGGTGTGTGCCTGTGTGTGCGAGCGGGAGGAAGAGGGAGCGCGAGCCACAGAGCGAGTGCGGGAGCGGCCGGGAGATGCTCGGCGCCTCCGCTCCCCGCCCCGCCGCGCCCGCGCTCGCATCCGCACCCGCACCCGCACCCGCACCCGCACCCGGCGGCCAGAGCGCGTGGGGCAGCGCCTCGCCCTGACAGCCGCTCGCCTCCTCGCGGTCTCCGCGGCAGCTCGGCCGGCCGCCCAGCGGCCTCCCCCCACCCGGCGGTCCCCTCCCAGCCCGAGCCCTCCCGCTGCTCCTCCTCCTCCGCCTCCTCCCCTCGCGCGCCGCTGACAGGCAGCCTCGGCGGGCAGAGCGCAGGTACTTTGCCTTCAGAATAATTTGCACGACCCAAGCAAGCTGTCGGAGCGCCCTTGTTTTCTTCGGTCGTTGCCCCCTCCCTCCGGAAAAGAAGGTCCCACTTTTGAAACAAGCAGCACTCGAAGCACCCTACCCAAGCCAAAGCCCGACGGGCTGCTGTGCATGTGCTGTCCTTCCTTGCAGTTCATTCTGGGCCTGTGTGGAATGGAAAGACAATTCTTTATTTGACTGGGAGGAGAGAAAAGAGAAGACTCCTCAGGGTTTCCAAGGAGGACTGGAGCGGCTGCTTTAGTAAGTAAACTGTGCTTTTGTATTTCTTTTCTCTAAAGTGAGGCATATGCTGGATGCTCTCCCTTCAGATGTTATGGACACAGTTCGTTTTACCGGGGACGAAGTTGACTTATATAACTTAAGTGTTCTTAATTGAGAAGTGGTTTGCTAAGCTTTTTTTTTTTTTTTTTTTCTTTTAAGGGCATTGAGAAGACTAAAGTGGGAGGAACCTTACTGGGGATCTGATTTTTAAACGTTTATTGTTCAAGAGATGTTGGGAGCCTGGCTTGTGAAACGTTGGTTGGTTCTAAGATTTAAGGATGATTACCTAGAAAAAGCTTGAGAATTCTAACCTCCTACCTTCCACCTCAACCTTAATCCACACCAACTCCCTTCCTTCCCTGCCTTCACTTGGTTGCTTGCTTTATCTTTAGTTCTGAAGACAGCTTGCCAGAAAATTGGGTCAAGGGAAAGTTAATAAAGATGGTTTGAAAGACCGGGAGAAAATCCTGTTGAGGTTTCTAATACTTGTGGGTAGATGAGATGTGGAAGAAAATCGTGGAACTGGGCTAGTTTGGAAAATTTTGATGAAATTGATTTGGAGAGGGAATGTGAAAAATGCTTTGGAGAGGGTAGGAGCTGAGGCTGTGACTTTGACACAGCAGGTTATGAACTGTGACAGGGGCTCAGCAGCCAGTGACAGGCTTAAGGTGTCTCCTAGGGCTGAATATCTCTGCATCAAAAACTTTTGCAGGCAGTATTCCTCTTGGGGCTAACATCACCATGTCAGTAGCTGCAGCATTTCTGTAAAAACAAGTAGGACACTCTTCCCTTTTCTGTGAAGGGGTTAATGATATATTTAAAAAGAATAAATGATAGTCTAACATTTGCCAGCATTTTGTAATATCTCAAGAAAACCTTTGCGTTAGGTCAGTAAAAATATAGTTGAGTCAGTTTGTTTTGCACAAGAAAGAATCAATAACATTTCAGCATTTTTTTTTCTTTATTACTGCCAAATGGACTCGGAATCTAATTCTTCTTGCATTGTTACATATACAGTAGATACAGTAGGAATTTCAATTTAGATACAACAGAGCTGATTTTTAACAAAGCCAAAGTTCTCTGACATAATAGCATTCATGCTGACTAGTGTGGAATAGTAATTTAAAAAGTTCGTTTTATCTTTAACTTTCTATTTTCTGTCTCAGTGTAAAGCACACTTACAAGCAAATGTCTTTAAGAGTTATGAACCAGATTGAAAATTAAAGCCACTTATCTTGCAGATATATTTTTTTCAACAGAATACCTTACCATCAAATAATACGTAAGGGCTCTCTTATATTTAAGTGATGATAATAATAAAGTAGAAAAAAAATGCTACCTTTATATTTACTCAAATGTGTATATAAAAGTGGCAATATTCATTTGGCATTGATTTTTTAAAATTTTAAGAATAAACTAATGTACAATGGTTTTAAAAAAGGAGAGCTCTTTTAGAGTTGCTATGGTTCTTCAATGTCAAAAGCTCTGAGTATCTTGAGACATAAGTTTTTAGGGTAATGAAATAACAGTAGAACAGTTGATGAATTTGTTGATATAAAGTTACAATATATGGAAATCATTTGGGAAAGATATGTCATTGTTTCTTGTATATTACTTTATTTTCTATCCAAATGGGTTCTCTGAGAGGTATTGCTATTCTCAGCTGCCATCTCTGCTATTGGTTTAAAATGAATTTAAATAATTTAAAATTAAACCATGCTTGGTCAGATTTGTAAAGCATATGACCTCTACTTACTTGTGACCTCAAATATCTAAAAGGATATCTGATGTTTTAAAAGAAGTTATTGAAAAATAAAAGGTAAGAGTGTATTGAAGTACCCAATTTTAAAAGTGGTTCAAACATGTTATTACATATATTATTATAGGACACATTTTCCACAGTAGAAAAGACATGGCAGAATTGTTGATCCAATTCAAATTGCTGAAAGCAAAGATTTACAATTAACATGAAAATTAATGTGACACACATTCTGCCTGTGTTCTAATTATGTTATAGTGCTAAGGAAGATAGCCTGAATTAAAACCATTTCTAGTCAAGCTTGCATATATCATATTTGATCACTTTCAAAAAAGTCAAAACTGGATGGGGTGATTAGATTGTCAGGGTTTGTTTTGTTATTTTCTTTCTCTCTCTCTCTCTCTCTCTTTTTTTCTTTTTTTTTTTTTTGCCACCAGTTTTCTATGCGATACAGAGATGGTTGCAACTTTAAAGTTGAAAAAAGAAAGTTGCTAGTGTCAGCAGTAATGTGTTTTATTATGCAATTGTTCTTGTTATTCAGATCAGATAATGGCCCTATGAAATACATAAGCAGTCTGCAGGGAATGAATGATTAATTCCTCTAACGTGTGCTTACTAAAGGAGTTCTTACTAATAAAGTGCTGTATACCTGCATTTGCTTACAGTTGCAGTTGGTGAAGGCAAATATACTTTTCTTTTCCTTTAATAATAACATAGATTTTACAGGTCTAGTCCTGTAACTGTAGTAACTTAAAGATGATTTCATGGAACACATGACCTTATATTTTATAGAGCCCTTTGGATACATATGATTGCTATTTACTTAAAATGATTAAGAAAGTAAAATATTGTTAATTAAATGTAATACTAAAAGACTGAAGTATTAAAATTTTTGTTTTTCCCTCAATGGAATGGCATTCTCTCTCTCCTGTGTGTTACTTGGGTGCGGATGCAAACTGCAAGTGCAAAGGACGTTTCTTTTTAGTATAAATAAGTGTAAAAACAGTTTAAATATTGTTGGTTGTATGAAATAATTAGGTAGATACTCTGTTAAAATTTTGGGAATGGCTAATAGTGCACATGACAATTGTGGTTACCAGTGGGTAAATTGTTTTGCAGTTAGAGGTGTATCACTGATTAACTTTCCAATATCTTTGCATTTCTGAGACTGGATTATAGGTGAAGGTGGGAAATGGATGGATTTTATGTAGTGATTTGAGAACAGGTAACCTAACATAAATACTATACATTTTAAACTTACTTACCAAATGTCTTCTGTTTTTAGAAATTTCTAAAAAAATGTGATTTTCAAAATTGTCTAATTGAATATATCAATACGCATCTCTCACATTTAATAAAACAAATAACTTTATTTCAAGATTCCTCTGTTGTTTGGAGAAATAATTTCTGTAATATTATTTTGAACTTACACTTATACTGAATTTAATAAACTTTAACAATGGAAATTATATAATAGTATATATTTAATAATACTAATTTAAGAGTTATATTGAAAACTGGATGAGTAGGATTTTGTAAATTGAGTACCATTTGAATTTATCTCCCTATATATTTAAGTGCAAAATTTTTATGACTACTGTCAGTTCACTGGGTTTTAATCAGGCTGTTCAAAAGCAATTTGGCATCCATAAAGAATAAATGAATTTCTACTGGTAGAATCAATGTGGAAGTTAACTGTACTCGCAATAATAGTTATGTTTTTTTCAAACTCCTTAAAAATGTGTTGAATGAAAGAAAATGAAGAATAAAAAATGAATATTGTCCGTTAGGTGAACACTTATATGATTGTAGAATCAAAGGTTTTGAGTTTTTCTCTCATCTTTATAATTGTCAGTGTGACTCCAGGGAGGTAACTTGGACTCTATGGGTTTTCTCCGGGGTTTTCTCCTCTGTCCAGTAGAGAAATTCACCTACAATCTGAGGCAGTTTTAATTCCAAAATCTCATGGAACAAGATAATATAACTAGTAATATAATTAATAGTAGCATTTAGCAAATTGTTAGACTACTCTGGCACCTTTAGAACCCAAAGAGGCGTTGTGGCAGCCATCTTGTTTGGGGAAGGATTAATGAAATTGTCCCCAAGTCATATTGGAGGTGACTGGACCCTGTTGCTATGTGGATTAAATGTTTATGTGGAAGAGGAGGATGGACAGTATGGAAGGAAGGGAGTGGACTAAAATTCTTCTAAACCACCCGTTGCACTCTCTACTGAAAAAATATTATATAAGCAAGTATGTTTGGACTTATTACTGTATTTAATACCAAAAGGGTATGAGAAGATAAAAATAAAAGAAGTTGCTAAGTGTCCTTTGACTTCCTTTTTTTCTCCTCTTAGTTTATTATATATTCTATTTTACAATATCATGTTTAGATAAATATGCACAATTTAAATATACTATTTTTATTTCCCTGAGATACATGTTATAGACTGTCACTGCTAGAAGTAACCGCATAAAAATTCATTTCAGCCCCTGTATTTTAGAGCGGAAACTGAAGACTTCAGAGGTTAAAAACTATAAATGTGACATATACTTCCCAAGTTCACAGAGAGGTTTTACCTCACAAAGCAGTAGTATCTAAGATGACACATTGACAAGTAAATACATAGACAATAATTTATACCTGTTAGTAAATTATCAATACAATCATTCCAATTGGTGATGTATAATACATTTATCTAAAAAGATTTTATAATGACAAAGCTTCTAGTCATGGAAAATGGACACAGAAATAATATATGCAATGTTAATTTTGGGTACTTGCTTTTCTTATAGAAAACCAAGATTGTATTCTTACATAGAATTCACATTTTTAATTGATGAAATTTGAAAGTTTTTCTCCTCTAAGAAAATCAGTGTGTCTAATCTTTCCTCTTTCTGATATAAATATTTGGCTAGGAGCACGTGGACCTCTAACCCTGTAAAATGTTTTATATTTTAAATCATTGGAGAATCGGAAATCAAGCTGTATTTAAAATTTATTTACTTCTGAATGCAAGATACAGCTGATTAATTAGAGAGCATATTTGCTTTCTGTTTTGTGTGTTTGGTTGTGTGCCTGTGCACATGTGTGTTTAAGCACAAGTGTTCAAGATGGAACTTAGTGAAAATGGTGTACTTAAAATTTTAGAAGTATATGTATAATAATTGAATAATCAAAGACAGATAACATATTTTAGAGTGTAAAATATCAAATTG